GCAGCTGCTGGAGCCACTGCATTAGCCAGTGATTTGAGCCAGCAGTGTTGACTGAAGTCCCCAAATGTGGTTGCAGAAAAAGGAGTCTTGGGAGGGAGGAGGGGGAAATGGTGGTGGCATTTGCTCCCTGAATTTCAAAGCACTGCCAATGCAGAGGCTCCTGCAACTGCATGGGCCACAATTTAACCCCTTGCAGGCCACATGCAGTCCATTGGACAGCCCTTGTCTAGGGGGTTAAGGGAGACTACGGTGGATGCTGCCACAGATCTTTCCCCTCCCCTGTGTGATCAATCACGCTCACCATTGGCTTGACTGAAGCCAGTGGAAGGCTTTTTATTGATGATGTGTGCTTGCAGGGCTTTTGAGTATGCATTCACCCAATGTCGCTCACTTGGGATGCATATAGGGTATTCCTAGCCACCAATGTTTTGTCCTGCTTGTACTGTGCTCTCCCTCCCACATCACTTAGGGTTTCTCTGAGTGTCCAATAATACAAGCTTCAGTGTAACAGAATCAAAAGGGATCACACAGACATCCAAAGGAGCCATGAGCCCTTATTAGCATTGTGCAATGATTGCTACCATTTTGAGAACATGCTGGTGCTACAGGGGGCACCTGGGGATTTGAAAGGAGTGCACTAGTTGGTGCCCTCTTGCTCCTCTAGTTCACACTCACTCTCAGCACGTGCTGACCAGCATGTCCTCACTCATGCGTTTTAGCGTCGGGAGGTTGCTAAGACGGTGTTCTGCCTAGTGGTGATCTTCGCCCTCTGCTGGCTGCCTCTCCACCTCAGCAGGATCCTAAAGAAGACTATCTATGATCAGACTGACCCCAACCGATGTGAGCTGCTCAGGTAGGGGCTACCAAAAAAATGACCTTTGCTACTGTACTGCACTTAAAACTTGTGATCACAGAGAAGTAGGGCTGGAAGCAGTGCCATAGTAAGGGGGGGGGCAGTGGGGTTACTGCCCTGGGCACCAAAGTTAAGGGGTGCCAATAGGCGCTGCCCAGCTGGGGTGGGGTGTGGGATGGAGCCGTAAATGGCTCATCTGGGGGGACACGGGGATGGAGGGAGGGCAGCTCCTGCCACTGCATGCACTCCCACGCAAGCATGGGGGGTTGGGTGCCCCCTGGATCTGTGTGTGGGATGAGGGTGGGCTGCTGCTGCACATTTTGCCCTGGGCGCCACTTCCTTGCCATGGCACTGGCTGGAAGGGACCTCCAGAGGTCATCTAATCCAACCCTCTGTCTGAGGCAGGATCATCCCTATCCAAACTATCTTATAGAATTCATTATCTAAACTCTACACAAAACTACTATCAACCCTGATACAACACAGATATAACATCATAACCTGGCACAGGGAAAGCAGGGGAACTGTGACAGCCAATGTCCTGCTTCTGTAAAGGTTGTCAATATATGCTCAAATGATCCCAAGTAAAGGAGCACTGGCACACCCTAGTCAAAGTCCCCTGCCTTGGCTTGTAAGTGCAAAGGTAAAGATCCCAATATTGGACTGAACCAGGGCACACATGATGTTGGGATCAAGGATCAGATCTCAGTTGCACTGTTACTACCTGCTAGTGCACGAAGCCATTATTCTACGCTCCCCCTGCACCAACAAGTAGAAAACCAGGTGCCCAGTGAACCAGTGTGGTCCTGGAGCTGGGACCAACAATCAGCTGTTTGGCAGTCCCAGCCCCAGGACTGCACTGGGGTCTTGAACTCACTCTAGTGCAGTCCTGGGACTTACCAACAGACAGCTGATTGTAGGTCCTAGCCTCAGGACTGCACTAGGGCCAGTCCCAGAGCCCCATCATGCCACTGGCATCAGGCTGCATGGCAGGGAATCTGTCATATGCTCAATTTAAGGCATGATGGAAATTAGCCACAAAATTATTACACATATTTTGTGAAATATTTTGTGGCTTATTTCCCACATTATAATGCCATTAATTACATGAACATGTGTCCAGGTTATTAAGTAAAATGCTATTAATTGGTTAATCACATCTTAAATATAATGTCTGCTAGGAGCCAGACAGAGCAGTGGGTTGGTGCACTGTGGAAACTTCTTATTTTGTGTTTAGAAATTTTCTACCACATCTAGCATCCTCTCCTCTATCCTCCCAGTTTCCTCCTGGTCATGGATTACTTTGGCATCAACATGGCCTCTCTGAACTCCTGCATCAATCCTGTGGCTCTCTACTTTGTCAGCAGGAAATTCAAGAACTGCTTTCAGGTAGGAAGCAATTTCAGTGACTCACTGCAGGTGCCAGTAGTCAAAGTGCCCCATGGCACTGCCTACCTTAGCTCCTGAGAGAGGTAGTGGAATCCTGTGGAGGTTAGCCAAAGCATAAAGCAGGATTGTTTCTTCCTCAGAGTAAGGGTTGAGCCTTGGAAGGACAGTTAATACTTATATGACTTGCACCTACAAGTCCTAAGCAATATTGTGTTGGGGACTGTTCAAACACTCAGAGAGATAAAGTCCCTGTCCCAAAGAGCCTTCAAATGTTATAAACAGACAAGCAGAGAAAAGATGAGGAGAAACAGAGGTACAGAGATGGGGAAGTGGCTTGGCAAAGGGCACACAGCAGATCATTGACAGAGCCACAAACAGAACTTGCATCTCCTGATACCCAGTCCAGTGCCATTTGGTAGGTAACACTGCCTCTCAGTGGAGTCACTGAAGTATCAGCTTCCCTTTGGGGAATAACCTAGTTGAAGCAAACAGACAGCTATTTTTTATGGCAGAGGAGAGGGTCCCAAATGGCGTTACTGATGCTCTCATACCCACATCCTGCTCAGCTTGACAAGACTGTGAAGCAGAGTGAAGAGGCTCAATCCAGAACAAACTGTGACTAACACTGTTTACCATACCAGCAAGGCTGGGAGCATTGGAAACACTGAAATGTGATATAAAAGGACATGTGGGAACAAGCCAAGTTTAATTTTTACCTTTCCTCGAGCTAACAGCAGAGGTAAATGGTGAACAGATAACCCAGGGACTGAGATACCTTCATGCAAAGGGTTCATCAAATAATTTCAGATGTAATTAAATCCAAGTCTGTTTCTAGATAATTTGCAAATAAAGGCTGGAGTGGGCAAGTCTTACCCTGATAAGCACTTACTCTTCTAAGTATGGCCCTATGGGATTTGCTGTCATTGCTCATGTGAGTAAGGTTTGCACAATCTAGTCCTAAACTAATCCCCTAAATTATCTGCTATTGGTAGAATAATTATTTATATTTCAGTAGTGTACTGAGGCCCTGAACCAAGTTCAAAGCCTTTTGTTCTAGGTACTGTATTTAGCACACAGTAAAATGTACAATCTAAGGGTTTGTCTACCTGGGAATTATAATCCAGAATAGCTCTTCTGGACTAAACCTTTGAAAACAGATTCAATTATACCTGGATAGACAAAAGTTCTCTAGCTCTAGCGCCTTCTCACAGGGAGTCAATCCAGAAGCACTATTCCACATTAAAATTTCACCCAGATTAATATTAATGAAGATACAAAACTTAAATAGATAAGAACAAGGATTCAGCTGTGACAGATGGGGCAAGACAGTTAAAGTGACTTGCTCAAGGTTGTGCATGGAGTCAGTGGGCACACCTACACAAGATGCTAAACACACAGTAGACTAATTCTACAGTGCAATTAGTGCTTCACAGCAAAAGCTGTGCTAATGAGCTACTGCATGGTAGAATTAGTCTACTGTGCATTAGCATCACTAAAAGAGCATGCACCAGCAGTACTGCACAGTAGCACCAGTTACTGTGCATTGAGTTAGTACCTGTTATTACAAGTACTAAACCTAATGCACAGTAACAACATTGCATTAATGCATGTGTAGATGTGCCCAGTGGCAGGGAAAGAAATTGACTCCACATCTCTTGCAGCTCACTATGTTTCCTATCTGTCTGTAAAGAACAGCTGAGGTTTTCAAAGGTAACTAAAGGTATTTGGACACCTGATTCTTATTTTAAGGAGTCCTTAGGTATCTGCATTGATACTTTTTCCCAGGCCAAAACCCTTCCAGTTATTTAATCTCAAAACATCTTTCTTGCACTGATATTCTTAGGGGAATATTTCCCCCTGCTTTCTCCCACAGTCCAGGCTCCTAAACTCTCTCTGGCTCTTCACAGTCCTGTCTGTGCTGCTGGTGCCAGAGACCGACCCTGAGCATCACACCAACGGATGATAAAGGGTCTGTTGGGAAGTGGAAAGCCAATGGGCAGGAACTTGGTCTGGACCGGAGCAGCTCCCACTTGAGTAACAAGTACAGCTCTTCCTAAAGATACATAAATCAATGGGGAGAGAGGGAGAGGATGAGAGACAGCACCGCAAGAGATGAAAGGAGACATCTATCTCACTCTCAGTCATTTCCTGGATGGGTCTGAATCATTCACCTTCATTGTACAGCTGCTGGAAACAGCAGGAGCTTCACTCCACACTTTAACCCAACTCAGAGCTCAGCCATAGCCTGGGCCATAACTGCAACCTTAAACCTCCCTGTTCTTTCTTTCATTTATGACCTTTTCTGCACTCCTCTAAGGATAATTCGGTTTTTAAATCCACAAAGAGAAAGATGAGTGACCCTGGGACCATTCCTCTCCAGCTATGGGGCAAGGGGTGCTGGGATTGATCTCACACTGAAACTGACAAGGGACGTCAGCAGGGGAAGGTGAATTCTCATTTCCAGATTTGATTCAAGAACCCAAAGCAAAGCTGATGCAGCTGCATCACCAGCACTTCACCTTCCCCTCTTTGCTGCTGGGACAATTGCTAGAAATGAAATTCACCCAGTGGCAAAGAGCCAGCACCAACCCTACTTACCACTTAAGTTCTGTTGGAGCCCATTGGATTCACATTTCCTGCTGGCTGTTTACTCAGGGGATGAATTTCACCCTTTGTGTCTATATTGTAATAATGGCAATGGCATGTATATAATAAAGCTTCTTAGGGGATGTTATATTCATAGTAGTATCAGGGTTAAGAACCTGTTTTTTATTTGAAATTATAGCTTATACACACACAGACACACACACACACACATACACACATGTGCCTGTGTGTGTGTAGGCTATATATATATAGCCTACTGTAGCTTCTCTCCTCCCTTCTACAAGGTAGCTTCTTTTCATTATATTTTCTATTGCGAGAGCTGAAGGAGCCAGCTAGGTCCGTTTTACATTGGTGTTTGTAAATGCAAGCAAGGGAATGGCAACACTGGCTATAATTAAGGTGGGGCTAGGACCAGGCAGTGTCCGGATTTCTTTATCCAGTCTTCCACTCTACCAGCTTTTCACTTAAGCCTGATTTGCATCACTATACAGTGTCCCAGTCCTGGCCCTCTTTAGAACAGAAGCTATCAGCTCTGTTGGTGTTGTGCTATGGACAGATCTGTACTTGGAGCCAGGAAGTTCATGGAATGCAATTTGTCAGTGAACTGTAGGGGGAAAGGAATTGCTGAGCACCATTGGTGCTGAGCAACACTCTGCCCAGGAACTTAGACAAAGGAGCACTCCACAGTGTAGACTCATAAGGGACTATTAGATCATCTGGACTGACATCCTGTGTAACACAGGCCAGAGAATTTCATTCAGTTCCTCCTGCACTGAGCCCAATAACTTGTATTTAACTAAAATATCTAGAGCTGAAGATTTCAAGAGATAGAAGAACCACGATTTGGAAGTTTTTCACTAATAGGCCACCCTCAAGGACACAGTTCAGAGACTCCCCTAAGGACAATGTAGATTGGCTACTGATGATGATTGTTATTTCATTTGAGTGGGTTCTTTCCCTTGTGTCCATACTGAGGCAAGGCTCTACCCTGGGATGAGGTGATGCTATACTGACAACTATGCCATTTCTGCATTTTATACAGAAAAACATGATCCAGGCCATTTGTAATGGTTGATGCAGTCATAGGTTCTCTATGCTGCAGTCAGGGTTTGTAAATCCAGTGTCCTAGGCCATAATTCCAAGCATGATGGAATTACTGAGAAATCAGAGGAATATTGGAGCTGCTTGAAATATGGTATATATAATCTTCCTAAAATATTCAACCTTTTAAAATTATTTTCACAGGTCTTAGAAAAGATCAGTTGTCAGCATATATCATTTTCTTGAGATACTATGTGCAATTTTGCGTTTGTACTGGCAGACGGTGGAACGCAGATTCATCAGACCTCAGATGACAGAAAGATTTTAAAGCTGAAACGTTCCAGGGTAGATGCCACTTTCTCAATAGAAGTTATTTTTGAAACATCCTTATTTCTGTCAAGGTTCTGACATCTCTTATAGTTATTCAGTCTGCAGGGGAACTGAGACGATTGTGTTGTATATATGTACTGTATATAAACTCCATTCTCTTCCTTCCCATTCAGCCTCTGATCTAACCTCTAACTGCTTTAATCTGCATATACCCTGTCCTAGACTCTGGAATCTGAAGTAGGGTTAAACTGAGCTCTCCATTAATGCCCAGTAGATTACCTGGTGACTATCTGTAGTTAGGGTAAGTCACCTTGTTCAGGACATGGAGCAGATAGGAATTTCTAATTGCAGGGAATGAGGCAACAGAAAAGAGAGCAGGAGAAAGTTGAAGATGAGGGAAGCACTGCAGAGCCAGTGGCACAAGAAAAACATGCAGCTTTGTTCCTATGGGAAAGGAAAGGATGCAAGTGGCATTTGACAATTGTGGTGGCACTGGGGACAAGTGGGGACTGTGCATGTGATGCTGCAGGAAAGGCTGCTGGCCTTGAGGTCAGCAAAAAGCACCTCAATAAACAATCTGAAGCAGAATGAGCAATAGATACTCAACAGCACAGTTGCTCACTGTGAGAACCCCATTAGTGCATGCAGGTATCCACAGCTTGATTTGCCTTCTTCCTGCCTACCTGTTTCTTGATCCTTGCAGCAGTTCACATCCTGAACCATGCGCTGGCTGATTTTCAGGCAGTTGTTTCCAGTCTGATCCTGGGATGCCAAGATCACAGGGTTGTACTTATGAACAAGTCACATAAAAAAAATCGGAGCTGGCAAGAGCCAGAATCTCCCTGATGTGAAGATCATGGGAACAGCAGTCAGAAAGGAGGCTGCCTCTGACACAACAGCATTGCAGAATACGGGATGGATGAAGGGGACAGTAAGTCACTTCACAAAGATGGTAACTAGGGCTGTTTCTCTTGATCCAAGAGTGACTGAGACATTAAGTGAGGATAAAGTGCTTAGTGCTTCAAGGGTATGGGATTGTGGAAAGGGTACATGTGTTCTGGCTTGTGGAGCACTTGCCAGTGAATAAGATGAAGAATGGCAGCTTGGGCACATCCAAGCTGAGAGTTGTGATGATGTTTGGAACAAAGAGGGGAGGCAAGAAAAAAAACACAGATGAAGGAAGGGAGCTCATTCTGTAAATAGCAACAATTTGGAAGAAATGGGCAGTACACAGGCAAAGGGTCCAGAGTCCATCATTAACCCGTTATGGAAAGGTACCTCACACAATACATCTTGAACTCCTCCCAACTTTAAATAAAATGACAACCAATTTCAGCTTGTGGTTCAGTTTCATTTTAGGGCAACCCTTGCTGTGTTCATGCCCTACATGCATGTAGGGCTAGGTAAATTAATGCATGGCTCCCATAAATGTCAATGGGAATTGAGCATCTAAATCTCCTAGACAGCTCTGAAAATGTTAATAACATTTTGGCGGTGTCAAAAATACAGAATAGCCCATACTTTCAATAGCCACTCCATGCTTTTGGGGTACTGGAAAGAGATGTCAACTGTTTGTTGTTCAGAACAGACAGATTTCAGACATAACAGAGGAACTCCAGATAACTGTATTTATCAATCAGACACAGAGGGGAAACCAATCCTATTCCTTTTCATCCTACAGGAGCACTTTTAATCATTTCCACATTAGCAGTTGCACCCACTTCAACATTTTCATATTAAATGTTTCAAAATAGTCTCAGAACCACTTGTTATAAATATTGCAACAAATTGGCTACCATGAGTTAACTCCAGCTCTGCATTCTGGTGCCCCAGCTGCATGCTTGTTTAATGAGGGCATCAGTATCCCCAAGTGCAGTTATTCCCTTGCATTCCACTGTAGCTCCCTCAGACTCTTGCTTCAAACACAACTAATCTCAAAGTTCAGCCAATAGTGCATGGAAAAAAGTTATTAGACCCAGTAGGATGCTCTAGCATTTTAACTCTTCTATATCTCAGATGGATATGGTTGTAATTTCCCCGACTTTAAATAGCACCTTTGGGCTGAAACTCAACCCAGAAAGATTCAAGCTAAAAGAAAAAATTTCAAGAAAGGTATGAACAGGGAGTTATAATGGAATCTGTTTTGCAGACTCAAGTCTTGATTACTAGCAAAGTGCTAATGCCATGACATAGCCACATGCTGCGAGATCACATTTCCACTGACTCTCAATCTGTTCTGGGGGGTGCATGGCATCATTAAGAGAGCAAGTACCCTTTCTTCCCTGTTACAAGGAAGTTCAGAGAAGACAAGGAGAGCCTTACAACCAAACATATGGCTCAAAAAGGGTCACGTCCATGCATCTCAAGAAATCCTAGGAACTCATCCATCAGCTGCCAGGAGCCAACTGGGTTTCAGATTATTAGAACTACAAGGGTTTTGTTCTCATCTGTTGTCTGTAGGACTTCTCAGCTGAGTAGTCATGGGATGAGCCTGTGTGAGTCAGTCCCTGTATTTCACCCTCCAGGGAAACTGCCTTCCTGCTTGTTAAAATCTTATTTTTAAGGTCTCCCTTTCATTTGGGTTAGTGAAGTTGGTGACCAGAAGGGACAAACAGTGCCATCTAGAGGCAGATGGGGACTGTGCAAATTCCCCCTTACACAGCTCAGTTGAGCACTGGCCAGGAACTAATGAGGCAGAGACTATCAAACTCACCCCAGGTGTGCCCCAAACCCATTTGGAAATCAGGTCTTTCACAAGAAGTGTCTCAGCAATGTCAATGGGCAGCGCTATAGAGAGAAAAAGTGTCAATAGCTTGCTATGCCCTTCCAAGCCAATGGCTTGCCACAACCTTGCATCGCATTGAAAAGGACAAGATAAGCCTACTGCAGTGAATAGGGAGAGAAAGGAATCTTACTATGAAAACCAGGAAAACCATCTGTGAAAGCAAAGCACTGCCAACCCATCACAGGGATGAAGTGTGTCAATTTGTATTTGAAAGAACCATTTTATTTATAACAGACCACATTTTACATCCCTCTTCTCTTCTGTATGTTAATAAAACATATTCATGTTTGAAAGGAAAGACTCTGGGTGTTTCTTACTAATGGGCAAAAGATGAGGGAAGTGTGCTAAATACTTAATAGAGTTCCAACTTGTCCTTCTAGCTCTTGTGTTCCTTTAGTGTCTCCACACATCTCCCTCTCTCCCTCCAGTGCAAGCATCTTAGTAAGAGTCAGTGATCTGAAGGGTTAAGAATGATCACTTCACTCTTGATAGGTAAATTGATAGGTATTGATTTTATACTACATTACACTTTTTATATGTAATGCTATAGTGGACAAGATGCCAACAGACACCAATCAAGACCATATCTTCATACCTGTAGCCACTGTGCACTGTACAAATCAAAAGCATTTTGATCTTTAAAGATGATGACTCCACTGAAATGCACAACAGTCCTAGAGTAGCTTAGTGCTCTTTCTGCTAGAAAAGATGACCAGTGTTCACCTTTAAAGTGGCACTGCTGGGCTTTAGAGTTATGCAGTGCTGAAATGAGCAGAGGTGTCTTCAGTATCTTAGGAATTTGGGAGATGCAAGTGACCTGTACCTTACTGGATAAAACCCTGCAAGATGTTTCGTTCATCTGGCTCAAGCAGTGAGTCACACACAGTACATATTTCATCTGACGACTCAGGCATACACCAACACTTCTGTTTTCAGGCAAGGTATTTTCTGAGTAACAGAGAGATCTAAAATATTTTCTTTACTGGTTTTAACAAAGAAACCCCTCAATTTCTGCACAAGCTGCTGGGTTTAGCTGAGAAGTACTAGTAAAGCGTGCAGGTGTGCTTTTGGCTCAGTGCGAACCCTACACGTGTCTGACATCCGAGCTGGAATATTGCTTCTTATAGCAACAGCAATACCTGGAGCACAATAAGGGCTGCAGCTCCCTGCCCTGCTAGGTGTTAGGAATATGGATTCATGCAGAAATATGACTTCAGGTTCCTACAAGTTAAAGGAAGAAAGAACTGACATAACTGTTCTATCTGCAAATGCACTGAGCTTAATTTTATTCTCCCTGACACAAGGGAAAATGAGGGAATAAAAACAACACAGAGGACATCAGAATCAGGCCCGCAGAAACTCTTTTTTCCCATATCCAGGTTGAATTCGAATGGAGTGGAACGTGATGTGGTCTGCGCTCTACATTGTTTATTAGAGAAACTGCAGGGTGGTCTTCAGAACTGCCATAAAAAATAAACCTCTTCCCATTAAGCGTAAATAAACCCTATACCACACACACATACACACACATCTGTCTGATGGGGCTAATCCATTTCTGTCTCCTTCTGGGCCTTGTATTCCTTCACGCTCGCCTACAAATGAGAACAGAAAATGAATGTCACAGGTATATGATTGCTTAATTAAAAGGAAGGCAACCCCACACACCATGTTCTTCACGTGAACCTCTGATTCATAAACACATCACCTAAGACAAAGGGAAAGGAAAAGGGCAACATTTTTGCTTACCTGGAGCTCTCACTTTAAACAGCGGAGGATCAGTGTAGGTCTCATGATGGGAAGAGAGACTCACAAGCTTAAGTTGCTCCAAGAAATGGCTGTTTTATTTCTCATTATAACATGCAATCGCTGCTGGGAAGGCTGGGCAGCATCTCCTGGCCTCAGGATCAACCAGTCTATTCATACAGGTGTCTTGCCAACTGCCTTGGGAGCTCATTCAGAACCCAGTCCCCACTCCTGTTCCCACTGAAGCTGCTCTCACTATTGTCAGCAACTTCAGCAGGAACAGAACTGGACCCTTCCTCTGCAGATCTTAAGTCCATTCACTTTGGGGAAGGGGTGAGCAAAGGTTGAACAGATTCCAGTTCCCAGTTTATTGCCAATGAAGCCTATCCTGGTAAGATGGTGAAGGAAGATTTTACAGGTAGGCAAACTAAATCAGAAACAGACCACGTGATTTCCCTAAGGGCAAGCAGCAATTAAAGGTTGGTCAGGGAACTCAAGTCTCTTGACTCCTCACTGTTGCTCTAGATACAATACCACACTATTTCCATGTATTAACTGATCTCACCAGGAGACCAAGGCAGGGCTCACTTGGAGAATGTTTAACCACCAAGATCCCTGGGTGAAAATGTGATCCTGTCTGTCAACTGACATAGCTAGTTACTTCTTCAAGAGAGGGAAGGGGCCCAGAATCTTCTCAATGTGGAACAGTGACCTCACCTCGAATGTGTTGAGCACATGGTGGCAGACGTCCATCAAATCCGTCAGCCCTTTCCGGAATGGCTCAACAGCTGGGATCCCCCCTTCAACAGAAAAAAAAATAAATAAATAAAAAAATAAATAAATCAAACATTCATCAAACATGGGTGGGGCCTGACTGGCTGCATCAGGGGATCAGGGAGGCTAGCCCAGGTGTGTAATGACATGACCAAAGATCTCTTTAGTGGACCTCATGATAAGGTAAGGATCTGGGCCAGTTCGCAGTGCATCAGCAGGCACATTATACTTCTACCTGCCACCACACCTCCCCCCAGCAATCATGAGAGAGAATACATGGGCTGAACAGACCACAGAGACTGAAGTCACTCACATTCCTACAGCCACAAGTCAGATGTAATGCCCCCCAGCAGGGAAAGCCTGACATGCTCTTGCATAGGTTCTACTCTTCTACTCTTTTATGCAATCAGTGCTCGCAGCTGCAGAACTGGAGTATTGTGACCTGGGGAACAAGTCTCAGATCTTAGCTAAGGTTTTAAAAGGTTTGGATAATATTCTTACAATTAATAATATCAGAAGCTACTGAACAGTGGTATGGAGTATCTTACCAGCATTACTCTTGCAATGGCAGGTACAGCTCCTAGCAAGCCCTGAAGGCATCAACGCAGATTCTGGGGAATGTACAATACTGCACAAGAAAAGGTCCCCCACTGTGGGCCACATTTAATACTTTACTCTTCTTCAACCAGCAATATAAGCCCATCCAGCTCTATAAACTACTGCATCTTTGGTTTACTGCAGCTGAATCCTGTCTAAGGATCTAACTAGGAAGGGGACACCTCAAGAAGAAAATGGGGGGGGGGGGGGGGGG